TGGGTGTGTGTGTGTGTGTGTGTGTGTGTGTGTGTGTGTGTGTGTGTGTGTGTGTGTGTGTGTGTGTGTGTGTGTGTGTGTGTGTGTGTGTGTGTGTGTGTGCGTGTGTGTGTTGTTTGTGTGTGTGTGTGTGTGTGTGTGTGTCGTGTGTGTGTGTGTGTGTGTGTGTGTGTTGTGTGTGTGTGTGTGTTGTGTGTGTGTGTGTTGTGTGTGTGTTGTTTGGAAACAGGTATTTGCATCCTGGAAAGGCTTCACCGCCAAATCCACATGTTGCGCAGGGGGACGGAGGGGGTGCAGGGGAGCTCCGTCCAATGAAGCTCTCCCCTGCACCCCAGGAAAACGTACCTGCTTTGCCCGCGCCTGGGGTCCGAGGCGGCCAGCTGGTGAGGCATCGTTTCATTTTCATCTTCATCTCATTTCGTGCTACGTTATTCCTTTGTGTCTGACGTAGCAAGGGGCCGAAACCATACCCCTTACGGATCACCTCATCTTGTGTTGGTGTGCCATTCCTGTGGTCTGGCACACACGGTACAAAAATCTCATTTCATCATCATGACAGGCACAGGTGAAAAGGTTGTACTCCACACAGTCACCAATGCATCAGTGTGTGACTTCGGTTGGGCTTTCCCTCCTGAGCGCCCGCCAACGGCAGGTTGCCGAGCCTCCGGTTGGAGGTAAGATCATTCGAAGCTTTTAGGATGTGACGGTCCGTGCAAGCCAAGGGTTTTCCTCCCGATTCAATCTCTCTGGGTTTTGATCCGATGTCTCCGAGAGACGGGTGTCGAGCTGATGTATGTTCCCGCCTGAGGTCGTGTTTTGTCAGGTTGCTGGGGGCATGGGCAGGCGCACATCCCTTCCCCTCTCGCCTCAAACTACCTGCCACAGTTTTTGTTTTCCAAAAGGTGGACCGGACCCTTATCCACCACTTTGTGGACTGGACCCGTATCCACTGAAAACCAAGTGGTGGCTCACTTTAAACTTGTTGCTCGCTTTCCATGAGGGTTGTCAAACAGGTTTTAGGCAGTGCGAGCGCCAGGGCATGTGCACTGTTGTCTACTTGTGTCAGCCTCAGTCTTTCTGCCATGAGCGAACTGTTGCGAGCTAGCCCTTTCGAGGGCAGTGTGTGTGTGGAAACAGGTATTTGCATCCTGGAAAGGCTTCACCGCCAAATCCACATGTTGCGCAGGGGGACGGAGGGGGTGCAGGGGAGCTCCGTCCAATGAAGCTCTCCCCTGCACCCCAGGAAAACGTACCTGCTTTGCCCGCGCCTGGGGTCCGAGGCGGCCAGCTGGTGAGGCATCGTTTCATTTTCATCTTCATCTCATTTCGTGCTACGTTATTCCTTTGTGTCTGACGTAGCAAGGGGCCGAAACCATACCCCTTACGGATCACCTCATCTTGTGTTGGTGTGCCATTCCTGTGGTCTGGCACACACGGTACAAAAATCTCATTTCATCATCATGACAGGCACAGGTGAAAAGGTTGTACTCCACACAGTCACCAATGCATCAGT